CAGTCCCTTGGCTGCAGCTAGTCAGATATGAAAAACTGCAGTTTGACTTTTAGTCTACATTAATTCCAACTTTCCAAAGGTTTCTTCTAGCCAGCTACAAAGCTGAGCAATTTCCTTTGCTGCTACTTTTCTGCATGGTTGCCTGGATACTCAGTCTCCTTGAAGATCTCACTGATTAAAGTGCTGCTGCAATTTGGTGATTTGAAGACCCTGATCTGTCATCTAGATACAGAATTCCTTAGCAAAAAAGAAAAAGACTGATTTGTCAAGTGCCTACTTTAGCAAAATTACTTAGACATGGTTATACACAAGACAACTTCATAAGTTATAGATTTTTCTCTTATATGATAAAGATACTATGTGCATAATGAAGTTCAGTGGTGTTAACTCATCATTTGTCCTATAGTGCAAAGCAGCACATTTTTTAGCACTTTTTATTCCTACACTATGGTGTCTCACTCTTGCTTAATATGCAACTTTATGGCTGCTTCCAAAGCAGGTAGCAACCTTTTCCAGTGGGAAAACACCACAGGCCAACCAGCACATTTTGATCCTATTTTCTTAGGGCTGTCAGAAGTTACAATTTCAATATAATCTTTGGACAAAAGTTCCAACAAACACCCCAAATTGTAGCAAAATAGGATTTGAATTGTGTTTGCATTTTTTCAGATCATGCAGAGGTCAGAAACAGAAAAATTCTTTGTGGATGGTCAGTGTTTGTTGCCCACTTTGCTCTTCCCTAGAATTTCAATATGTTTAGTAGTAAAAACAACCAGAATTGGAATCCATTAATTAATAGACAGTATGCCATAAGTTTATCTAAAGCCTGCAGGAATTTATAATCACATTAAATAAATAAATAAGCAAATAAATAAATAACAGTGAAAAAATAAATAAACAAATAAATAAATAACAGTAAATAAATAAATAAACACAGGCAAGAAAACGTATGATAAACATGGGATTTAAAAGTTGTCAGGAAATAGTTTCTGACAACACAAAAAATTTTCCTTCATGTCAGGGTGAGGGGAGAAGTATTTAGAAAAGGAAATCCAAGACAATCTATGAACATCAGATTGCCAATTTTACATTTAACTAAAATTTCTATCTCATATTTAGTAAATCTTTCCTGGCACAAATTTAGGAAAAATTATTAAATTACTGAGACAAAATTGGCCCTCATAAACAGAAATTAAAATATACTTAATAAATATTTCTGGTTAATTTACTTACAGCTTGATGTGAAGAACTTAACAACTTTTGTAATCTGGCTAGTCATCTAAACAGTATGATTTTGGAGGGGGATTATTGTCTTTGGAATACTGAGAACATTAAAGCCCTTGCCAGCAATGGTTAAAATTCTCTGAAGTCTTTATTTTTTTCTCCCTTACTTTTATAATTATCCATGACTTTTTGAAAGCCCTTGAATTTTGTTCCAGCATTCATTCAGCCATTTCTGGATTGCAGCAAGGCAAATAAAATGTCTTACCCATTTCAGTAAATTTTAAGGTATCTTCTTTACTCCTATGTAACTCAAAAATACAGAATTGTTACACATCAGAGCTTCCAAGGCCATCAGCTTACTATTCTTACTCAGCAACACTTAATGTTTGTGAATGATTTTAGTACATCACTGAGTAAACATAGACTTGAGGACATACAAAAAGATTTTCTTCAATGAAGTATTAATTTCCTTGTTTGGAACAATATAATATGACTATTATTTGCATTTAGAAATGCAGGTTCTGTTCCTTGCTTATTAATTTCCAGTATGTGAATTTTGTTTATTTTTATAGCTCTGACTTTTCCTCCCAAATAAGAGCAATTATGCAACATACCAAGTTGTGCAGAATGCCTAGCCTTATTTCCAGCACAGCAAGCAAATGAATAGGAGGGTAGTAGCAGTTGCCCCCCCATTGCAAAAGATGCAGAGACAATTACTACCTTTTCTGGAAAAAAGATTTTGCAGTTTTCCTCTCACAAGCCTGTTTATCCAAACATAAGGAGCACCAGTTCTTCTTCTCAGGTAGAGCAACAAGTAATAGAAATGAATAATTCCATAACACGTCAAGACAGCAAAGTGATAGAAGTCAGTTACTTGCTAGTTTCTTCGTTCGCCTTCAGATAATGTATAATAATAATCTTTTTTTAAGGCTAGACACAGTGATATGCTTATTTCTTTTACCAGTGTTGACAAGTGGAAACCTGAGTGCTGAAAGTCAGGCATCTAAATAAACTTGATTCCATGATTCCACCTGGTGTAAAAAGATACACAACTTTTCTTTAGTTGTGCAACTTTTCTTTAGCTACTCAAAGTCTTAGCAAGCTGTACTGTCAGTAAAATATTGGGAAAAATATGCATCCTTTTGTTTTTTTAGAAGAGAAGGAACATCTTTTTTTTTAATTCCAATTAACTGTACCACTGAGATTAATCTCAGGAAACGGTAGGCAAGAAGAAAACACAGCACTTAAAATGAAAAACTAAGCAATGCCATGTGACAAGTCTCCTGTAAATATGGAGTAGCATTTCCCATTTAGAGACCATTAGGAGATTTTAACACAGGTTGTTTGATTTCATAACCCAGGGTACAAAAAAAAGAAGTGGCTTGTGTTGGAAAAGAATAGCATAATAAAGTGAGTAAACAATCTCATTCTTATGGCACTGAGTGATTGGTCTTAATGAATCTTCAGTAAACTAAATATAGAAAGGTTCAAAGAGGATTAAATCTGCAGTAACTGAGGGTGTCTAAAAAGGTTATGAAATGAGCACAAAGTTTAATTAATTCAATAGATGAGGAACTGGTTAATAGCATAATTACTTGAATTTATTGCAGATATTTCATAATCTGTGTGAAATGAACAGTTTAACCCTGGTATTAGGGAGCTGCATGATTCACTCCTTTCTACTGAATAGATTATTCACTTAGTTATTAACAATTATTATATTCTTTATTATTATTATTGTGATTTTTTTAAGATATGTGTGCTTTGATTTACATCTCTCAAACACACCAAACCTCTTCTTTTATGAAGAAAAAATATGCAAATGATTTACTTTCTAGAAAAGCATACAATAACTGGGTGATGCTGAGTGTGAGGTTATTATTTCAGCTCTAACATCTGGTGAAGAATCCCTCTATACTTATACAGAAATGAGAATAACTTTAAGTTGTGCTACAGCTTTTCCTGCAGGGTAGCACAATTCAATTACCACAGAAAAGTAAAATAAAAATAACCTTTTAACTTAACAGAAAAAAAAAAGTGGTATAACCATGTTCTCATGAACTATGCTTTACTGTAAATAGAGAAATATGCATGCAGCTATAAATCTCACATGCCACACAGTTTCTGGTTACTCTTACTTACTGACCATAGTAAACATCGTGATCTCACAGGCTCTTTAAGGCATACTATGACACTTTTGCTTCCTCTTAAATGCCTCCAGAGATTTTCAAAGTTACATTTCTGTTTGTATCTTTCCTTGTTTCAGTATTATATACAAATGCCTGGTTCAGATCAGGTTCTGTCATTGCTGTTAAGGCTGTAAAGATAGAAAAGGTATTTTTTTCCCCCGAAGATGTATCATAAGCAATAAATTAATCATGCCATGAGAATGAAGCCTGTTGTTGGACAGCATTTTATGCACTTACTGAAAGTTTTAGAAGCATTTTCTGGAGTTTTGCACACTTAGAATGCTACTAGTGAAGCCAGCATGGCTTCACTAGGGGGAAATCCTGCCTGACCAATTTGGTGGCCTTCTATGATGGGGCTACAGAACTGATGGACGGGGTAGAGCAGTTGATGTCATCTACCTGGACTTGTGCAAAGCATTCGACACTGTCCCACACAACATCCTTGTCTCTAAATTGGAGCGACACCAATTTGATGGATGGACCACTCGGTGGATAAAGAACTGGCTGGATGGCCGCACACAAAGAGTTGTGGTCAATGGCTCAGTGTCCGTCTGGAGACCAGTAACAAGTGGTGTCCCTCAGGGATCGGTGTTGGGACCAGTCTTGTTTAACATATTCGTTGCTGACATGGACAGTGGGATTGAGTGCGCCCTCAGCAAGTTTTCTGATGACACCAAGCTGTGTGGTTCGGTTGATACCCTGGAGGGAAGGAATGCCATCCACAGGGACCTTGACATGCTTGTGAGGTGGGCTGATGCCAGCCTCATGAAGTTTAACCATGCCAAGTGCAAGGTCCTACACGTGGGTTGGAGCAATCCCAGGCACAGCTACAGGTTGGGCAGAGAAGAGATTCAGAGCAGCCCTGCGGAGAAGGACTTGGGGGTGTTGGTTGATGAGAAAATGGACATGAGCTGGCAGTGTGCGCTTGCAGCCCAGAAAGCCAACCGTATACTGGGCTGCATCAAGAGGAGCGTGACCAGCAGGTCGAAGGAGGTGATCCTGCCCCTTTACTCTGCTCTTGTGAGACCTCACCTGGAGTATTGTGTGCAGTTCTGGTGTCCTCAACATAAAAAGGACATGGAACTGTTGGAACAAGTCCAGAGAAGGGCCACAAGGATGATCAGGGGACTGGAACACCTCCCATATGAAGACAGGCTGAGGAATTTGGGGCTGTTCAGCCTGGAGAAGAGAAGGCTGCGTGGAGACCTCATAGCAGCCTTCCAGTATCTGAAGGGGGCCTATAGGGATGCTGGAGATGGACTCTTCATTAGACACTGTAGTGACAGGACAAGGGGTAATGGGTTAAAACTTAAACAGGGGAAGTTTAGATTGGATATAAGAAGGAAATTCTTTTGTGTTAGGGTGGTGAGGCACTGGAATGGGTTGCCCAGGGAGGCTGTGAATGCTCCATCCCTGGCAGTGTTCAAGACCAGGTTGGACGAGGCCTTGGGTGAGATGATTTAGCGTAAGTGTCCCTGCTCGTGGGAGGGGGGTTGGAACTAGATGATCTTAAGGTCCTTTCCAACCCTAACGATTCTATGATTCTATGATACTAGGTTTTGATGCAGTTTCTCTCTCTCAAATTAGATGCAGAGACTAAACTGGATGCTTTGAAGAATGGGAGTTGATCATTGGGTGATTGAAAGTCTGCAGAGAGAAGCAGCTCTGTGGAAGCTTGAGGGACTAAAAGAAGGTAAGGAACCACTTGCAATGTGATCAGTTGGGTTTTACCCTGGCTATTTCACCTATACTAATCAATATATCTATTCTTTGCTTTCAGAAAGCTTTTGAGGGGAGATAAAAAAATATTTACTTAGTTGCACTAAATGCCTAGTATCCCTAAAAATGGATTTAAATTATTCAGTTTCATTGAAGAAACATGCACTTTCCATGGATTTAGTGGCAAGGCACAGTAAAACAGAGGTGCTTAAACTGAGCAGTAACCTACCTGCGTCCTAACAAAGAACAAGTTTCAGGTAACACTAAAGATAATTTTGTCTTCCTTTATGAAGAGAAATTGTCCCCCTGACAATGGGTGTAGGTCTGTCTCCAGATCTAAATCAAAAAGTTTCTGGTTTTTTTTGGAATGGGGCTATCTATAGGTACTTTACTGAGTACAAGCTCAAAAGCTAGATACTGACCTACTTTTTTTTTTTTTTTTTGATGATGCCAGTATGCGATCATACAATTATAAAATAAAATCAGCATGGATTTAAACATCCAACAGTGTTTTGACCTTTCCATTGCATCTTATGGCTGATGTTCAGAAATCTTCACCATATTTCAAGCTAGATGGTCAATGGATTTTTATCATAGTAAGTGAAAAGACCAGGTGACAATGGCACAGAATGAAACTGCTCAGATGCTTGTGGTTTAACTCATAAATAAAATAACCACGTATTTATTTCAGTATTAGTTGCTATGCATTAGAAAATCCCAAACTTCAAAAATACAGTGCATAATGATGATGAAGTTGTTGCTAGATATCCATTTTAACCTATCTTGAACTGATTTATCAACCTACCAGTGTGGATTTCCCACTGTTACTCATGAGATTTAAATCACGTCTTGCAAACCTTCTATCTGAGAAACTACAATTTTTAAAAAGACAAGAAGAATGGAGTGACCAATTCCAACCTACAAATGTGGTTTAACACATAAATAGATATGGATCAAGTTTCTTAGACCCTTTAAGGTTCTTTTCTCCCTTCTTACAAAGAAGCAGTAATTCACATGAAAATGCTCAAAGGAAAACTCATCTTCGTATGCTTCCTGCTCACTTAAGTCCAGGAAGAGCAGCAGAACTCCTTTACCTTTCAGTGGTGCCAAACCCACTGAGACACTCAAATATACATGCGGCAGCTGTAATGACAACTTCTCCCAAAGTCCTCTGAATCATGAAAATGCTGGTGTATTTCTCTTCTGTTTGGCACAGAGACCTGGTACAGCATAAACTGGCCAACTAAATAGCATTGTTTGAACAAGACATGTTTCAAGCCAAAATCCATCACCTTCAGACTTAAAATATTCAAGTCTTTATGGAAGAAACAAATTTCACTCATCTACTCTACACTTTTTAATAGCAACAGCTGATACTCAGCTCCTATAAATAGTATAATTACCAAATAAGTCAAGGATGTTTAAAAAAATCAGTCATAACCTCTTGAATAAAATACTTCATATACTTAGTTTTTAAACCCAGTTCTCAATCCATTATCATCAAGATTAATCAACTAATATTCGGATATGAGGAAATACTGAGGAGTCATAATTGCACAGTGCTAATCAAAGACAGGAAGAGTGATGAGAAAACAAAATAAAGAGAGCAGAGTTTTTTGCAGTTTTTTTACAAACATTTGTGCATACCAATTTTCACTTGCCTTTGTGAAATATGATGAATGTTTTCAGATTATCAGTCGACAACAACAATGTGAATGAATGAAGCAATTGCTTAAAATAAATTGCCGAAATTGGTTTTGTATGACTCTTCCTCAAAAATAAAGAAGGGCAAACTTGGTCTCTCTTTACTCAGGTTACATGAATTCTCTGTTTGATTTTTGCCATGATATTTTAAATCAATTAATATACTTTTTTATGCAAAAGGAAAAAAAAAGATTGTGTATTTAGAATTTAATATAGCTTTTAGATATTCAAAAATTTTTTTTCTTGGTGTCCACTTTGTCATATTTCTGTTATGGCACATGGATTCTGAGTCAAAAGAAGTTGAACTCTGGAGCCTCCTACAGAAGCAGAGCATCTGAGAAAATACGCTAGATGTTGGTTTTGAAGCCCTGACCCAGAAAAGTGAGGATCAAGAAGTGCAAGCTGTATTGCTACGTAAATACTCCAAATATGACAGCAATTATTTGACATTTCTTTAAATAAGTCCATATCTTGAAAAAGTACAAGTCTCAAAGTTATTAATCTCCTTGAAAAATGAATTTGTCAAAACAAAAGAAATTCCAGTGCTTCCAACTGTTCATATATATTGCTTGTCTAATTCCAGCACCATTTTTAATATTTTTTTAATATATATTTCACCATGGCTTCTTTGCAGGAGCCATTCCTATGTCAGCTGTTTTTATTAAGTATTTTGTTTCAGTGGCACCTACTCTCCCATCTCAGATCAACTAAGAATATGAGTAACTTAAAATATTGTTATTGAACAAAAGTATTAGGACGTACTATCAATAGTGTTCTTATAGCAGATTTAAGTAGTATTATTCTTTAAAAGAATGTAAATAGTCTATCCGAATATAAAACGGCACCTGAGTGACATTTCCAAATTCGTAGGAAAATAAATGCTTATCTGTTCAACATCAAAATACAGAGATGTACTTTATAGTCCATTATTTTCCAGAAAGATAACTAAAATTACATTAGATTAAACTTGAGATTCCCACCTCAACCAGTTGTAAACATAACTAACTTTGAACTTGTAAATGTGTTCTGTGAGAAGTAAGCTGACTGAACAGTCTCTCAGCTTTTAAATTCATGAATTCACCTTGATTATAACTAAATTCTGGTGTTCTACATGACCTGGTCACCTAGATGACCACAGCCGAGACATAGCAAGCATGTATCACAATGTCCTGCAAGTGTGTTGACTCAAGTTTCCCTCCAAAGGAAACCAAGTCAGCAATGAAGATGATACATGATTGAATCTTATCCTGTCAGGGAGTTAAGATGGGGCTGCAAGCATACACTGCAGTGTTTGAGAAGATTAGGAATAACTATTGACGGGTCTCGGATGGATGTTTTTACATGCTTTAGGACAGGTGTTTAAATATTTTGTTGATCTGGCAACTACGGATGATCATTTTCTGGAACTATCTTCCAGATTTCTGGAATGACAGCCACTAGATATATATTCATCTGTCACTGATTTTTTTACAAGTCAAGGTTTTGTTTTCCTTGCCACAACTATCTGCTTAACATTTTGCAAAAACAATGCTTGGTTTCCAACTGTTCATACTTTATTCCATTTATTACTGACATTGCAAAATAAAACTCAAACAGAAGAGTACTGGGTTTTTTCTGGTTTCAATTTCCAAGTTTCTGAACAGTTCTGTAACATATTCTTTTGTATATTCAAAACTAGGCCATCAAAATATAATGCCAATTTAACCCACAACCATTATTTATATTAGCAGTGAAGAAGGAAAAAGGTAGTGGTAAATTAACCTTTGTGCAGCAAAGAACTCCTTAAAATAGGTTTTCAGCATGCATAGTAATGAACTATTGCTATCTCTCCTCAGCAGACATCTTTAAATACCTATGTCCAAAGTTGTTTAAAATCCTTTTCCTACAATTTCGGTTCTACTATTGCAAGGTAGAGTGATTCCACACGTATAACGCTGACCAACACAAGTCTCCTTTATTTATTTTCTGCTTAATATAGGGAATTCATGAATCAGCTATGACTTTTACATGCCTTGCCTTTGACCTTCCCACCGATAATCATAATAATGCTGGGCTGCTGAGAATCAATCAGTTTTCATAAAGGCAGCAGCCTTCAGATTAATCTCATATTATTAATTCTGCAAGTTAAAAAGACAAGCAGAAAGACAAGATGGCTTTCAGTGCTATTTACTTCCCTAAAAATATTTCCTGTGGATAATAAACAAACAAATTTCCAATCTGGTGAAGCTGTAAATTTGCAGCCTTCATGAAAATTAATTTAAATGGATGTGACTGTGAGGTTAGGATTGTAAAGATTAGGGAGACTCCTGTAGTTATAATTGCCTGTTCAGTTCATCTGCTGCTCTGTCACTCAAGAGTGGCACAGCTGCATTAACAACTCTAATCATAATCTAATTCTCAGATCAAATTCCCATCTTCAATATATCCTTTAATAAAGCTTCCATACCCCATCTTTTAGCCTTAATTATTGCTTCCTGTCTCCCCTGACAACCAAATTAAAAGGTACATGCAGCAGTTCTATAATAAAAAAATAGCATAGATACAACTACTGTACTGCAAATTCACACTAACCTTGTGAAGGTTGGACGGCTTGTGATAACTAGATTTTTTTTACTGATAGTGCAAGCACTAGAAGATAAGAAATACAATTTTATAATCACATATTGATTTTTCTTTTTTTCCTGCTAATATAGAAAATTACCTGGCCAGTTCTCAGATTAACAAAGTGAGAAAAGACAATTTTATAGGAAAACTGTCTGGATCCCAACATGTGGACTTATTTCTTAAAGCTGGAGCTCTTGACATGTCAGTCGTTGACAGTAGATATTGTACTAGTTAAAGCTAAATCCCTTTGCACAAGAACTGAGATGCCAAGTCAGCAAGATATTTAATCAGGTATCTACCTTTTGGCATATTAATAATTTCAAGTCAATAAAATTGTTAGCATGTTTAAAGTTGGTAAATACCACGGAATTTTTTAACAGAACCCAAACAGTCAGTGTCTTGTCGATGCAGGATTCTGTTTTGTCTGTTGTATTGTGCAAATGAGGATTACAGTAAGTGTTAAACTTTTGTCTCTGTAAATGTAACAAGACGGCATGTCAACATTTCTGAGACAGAAATACATTTCCATAAAACTTTAACAATGGATTAATACAATCATAGTATTAGTAACTGGAAAATGACTAGAAAATTAAAATTATGGGACAGGTATGGGCAACAAAAGATGATTGTCAGTGTAAGTAAGGGAGAAAAAGATTAATCAATTAT